AAACCCCCTTTTGGTTGGGGTTTTCCTTATCTGCCATCGACCGGGGTTAGGCACCCAGAAAGGTAGGCATAACAAAACACGTTATGCCTACTTTTAGTTTCTTACCACATGGTAAGAAACTAAAACAAAAAATCGAATAGAAAGGTAGAAACTCCCTACAATCCCAAGGAAACAAGCAAATACACAAAGATCACATTGTACTGCTTCGCTGCTTGTCCGCACAGCCCTCCTCTCCCCGGGATGGGGAAGGAGGAAGGCCTGATTTTTCGTGTTGATTGAAGCTTGGCTTCAATCAACACGAAAAAAACGCCGACCGGTGGGAGGGAGGGTTGTAATGGAGCCTTCGGGGCTCACCCAGAAAATGGCATTTCATTACATTCAATGCTAGTTTTCTGTGAGGAGCCTCTACGGCTCCCTGGAGCTGCATACCAAAAGAGAAGGAAAAAAAGGGACTTACCCGGGAGGCGGCCGTCACAAACTCTTCAATGCGACGTCAAGACAAGTGGCTGCAACCTGCGACCCAAAGCAACACAAGAACACCCAGGAGCAGGCACGTTCACCAAATAATGGGCGACCAGGACCGTCTGATTTCCAAAATCCACGCACCTGAATATGAGCCCAAGACATGTTACCAAACACAGCAGTTAAGGCTGCAAACTTCTGAACGTCATGGGTGCGAGGATAGACTGCAGGCTGGCTAGACTTAATAACCTTGCGGACAACCTGGGAGACCCGAGTCCTGGAACAGGGAACGAGGGAAACCGGATCAACTCAAAGCGCATTCCCAGCTACCCCAGTCGAGGTGTGCAGGTAATGGCGAAGAGCCACAACTGGACACAACACATGATTCACCCCCGGCCGAACCAACCAAGCATTAATGACCCAAGGCCTCCTCCAGAAAGCAGCCGTCTCGTTCTTCACCAGAAAAGACAGAGAAGGCTGCAAATGTACAAACCTACTCCAAGGACCAAAAGAGCAGAAGCCCCTGTGCTAGAGGAGAGCATGAAGCTCCCCTACCAAACCCCCAGAGGCCAATGCCAACAAAAACAGGACCTTGGAAAAACAATCCTGGACCGAAGGGGCCACCACAAACTGAGGAGAGAAAAGATAAGAGAGCACCCTGTCCAAGGACCAGGACGGCTCAGGAGGCACATGAGCAGGCCGGAGGTGAAACATAACACGAGAAAGCTTACGGAACGGGGCGGATGTGACGTCCACCCCGAACACAAGCTGGAGCGGTTCCGCCAGTGCCAAACGATACGAGGCGACAGTATTAAGCAGTCTCCGTGGTGTAGTGGTAAGACACTCGCCTGGCGTTCCGCGAGCGCTATGTCATGGGTTCGTATCCTGGCCGGGGAGGATTTACTGGGCGCAATTCCTTAACTGTAGCCTCTGTTTAACACAACAGTAAAATGTGTACTTGGATGAAAAAACGATTCTTCGCGGCAGGGGATCGTATTCCAGGGACCATAGGATTAAGGACTTGCCCGAAACGCTACGCGTACTAGTGGCTGTACAAGAATGTAACAACTCTTGTATATATCTCTAAAAAAAAAATAAAAAAAAATAAATAAAAAAAAATTAGGCATCAAATGACGGTCCTGAAAAATCCATGAAAGAAAGGACATGTGCAGGCAATGAGTCACAATAACGTGGCTGAAGTATGTTCAGCCACGTGTTATATGACATTTCGGTCCGTCCTGGACCATTCTCAAGTCCATTGAGATGAGGGAAGTTTGTTGTTGTTGTTACAGATTTAGCTACTCGGAACAAGTTCCAAATAACACGGGCTATGGTGAGCCCGTAACCAAAAGGCACAGGAGCGGGGCAAGTAGCACGGGCTATGGTGAGACCATAATGGACTTACCTGGCACAGGAGCAGTGCTCGATGAGGGAAATAGATGAAGGCAATAAATAGGTAAGAGAGCTGAGAAGCAAGGCAAAAGGTATGCAAAGTAAGGTGTAGTAGAGGGGATAGTAACATGAAAAAGAACAAAGGTAATCGCAGAAGGCCTATTGGCCCATATGTCTCATATGGGCCAATAAGCCTTCTACAGTTACCTTTGTTCTTTTTCCTGTTACTATCCCCCTCTACTATACCTTACCTTGCATACCTTTTGCCTTGCTCCTCACCTCTCTCTTGCCTATTTATTGCCTTCATCTATTTCCCTCATCACAATCGACTTGAGAATGGTCCAGGACAGACCGAAACGTCGTCGTCCCTTCATTTTCTAGTGTGTGGATTGGCCAACAAAGGACAAGATAACCTGATCTGAAAAAGAAGACAATTCACGAGGAGCAAGAAAATAGCAAAAAGAACGCCAGAAAACTTCATACTGTCGCCAAGACGAAGCTTTCAGCTGGGACACCATCAACGAAGCCACTTAATTACCATAGAAATGGTGATACACCCGCATCAAAAAGACCAGACGCGTAGAGCAAAGGAAAAGGTCGAACCAGCCCCATACCGGACCGGTCCGACTTGCTGAAAAAGGCGAAAGTTCCCAAATGCCCCAAGGAAGATAACCCTGACACACAAGGGCAGTACTCACAGGGCGCTTAGGGAAGGTAGCCCTTAAGCCCAATAGGCTCCAGGGAGCGGTAGGGACTCCCCACAGAAAATATAATAAAACCAGCACCCACTCATTTGCTACACCCTCCCTTCATTTGGAGGGAGGAGAGGGAGAAGTTGTGGTTCGCAAGCCACTCTACTGTCAGTTCTCCTCTAATGTATAGCCAGTGTCAGGTCTGCCACTGTCATTCTAGCTCCAGTATATTTTATCAGGTTTTCTTTTGCCTTGGTGTTTGTTCCATGCACACTTGTGTGGTGTGGGCCTGGAGCTGCATGTGTTTAGAGTTCCTGTCCCTAGGCACTCCCCTAGCGCTGCCTTTGTGCTGCTAGGGTATTCTTCCCTGGAGTGTTTAGGGGATGCTCCTTCACAGATCTGCCTAACTTATTTTGGCCTTCACCTCAGGGCACGTCTCATGTCTTTGGGCTTCCGTCTTCCCTCAGAGTGTCTTGGCTGGTGGGTGCATTTGGTTTCAATAGCTCAGTAATTAGTGTTTCATTAAATTTAATACTGGGTTTTTTAATTTTTAAATAAAGACCAGCTGAATTTTTTCTATGCAAATCTTGATCATTATGTTGTGTACATATTGCAAACAACTGTCATATGTTGTAGTTATAATTTTGATTATGGAGTTGTTATCCAATAATTGCTCCATTCTATTTGACCGACAAATGACTGTTGCATAATAATTTAATTTTGTCATTAAATTTTTCTAATTTACTGTCGGAGGAAGATGAATAGTGATTGGTCTGTACTGTAATTACCTAAGTGTAGTTACAGGATGAGAGCTACGCTCGTGGTGTCCCGTCTTCCCAGCACTCTTTGTCATATAACGCTTTGAAATTTCTTATTTCAATTTCTGTACTTACCTAAATGTGCTACAGGGTTATTATGAAGATATTTTACTAAACTTGTCTCCTGGTAAGATTAAGTGGATATCAACGCTCCCAAAATAAAATAAAAATTACCTGGTTGCCAGGGGTCTCATGGTTCAAATTAAATTCCTCATTTAATTAATCTTCAAATTCCTCATTTAATTAATCAGCTTTGCCCCATAAAGTTCATTAGAGGGCATTTGCACTGTCTATATAAAAAGTTTTCAGATCCAATTTATTTAAAAATTGGATCATCATTAACCCCTTATCTACACACACCCCAAATTAGATCAATGTCATTGTACACATAAAAAATAATTTCAATACTGTATTGTAAAACATTGCTTCGTAGTGTCAGAAAAAATACAAAAAATAATTTTTGTTTGGCCACGGTGAGGTGAAGAGTTGTTGAAGAGGTCATATTCTGAGAAATAATTTTAAAGTTGAACCATTTGTAATAGATTTCTCCCCATCATTAACATCTTCCAGGTCCATAAAACTCCTTGAATTTTTGCATGGCATCAATGGTTCCTAGCATTTGCATAGTCAATATATGGTGATGCACAAGACATGGTGCCAATCTTTTTACCAAACTCCAGAAAGGAAACAACCAAGTCTTTCAAGGTCTTTTTTTCCGATATGTCAAATGATTGTCAGAGGTGTCTAGTGTTGAACGATGCCTACAGAGAATCTTTAGGACTTTTGAATTTTACATGGCACATCTAATCTCCCACAGACCATTTGCACAGTAGCCCCTATCACTTGAGTGTGATGAGAATAATTTAAGAGTTAACAATCTTTAACCCTTACACAGCAGTTATTGTTAACTGTTGATTCACAGGGTAATGCTGTTATCATCATATGAAGACTTAAACAATTATTGTCTGTGTTTTACATGTATGATGCATATATGGATATAATAGGTCTATATGGATGTACTAGAGTTTACCTATTAAAAAAATCCTCCTACCATTTCATGGTACAAATGTGGATATATATCATCATGAATGTTACTAGGGGAATGTGGTTGTCATCATACAATGATTTAAACAATTATTGCCTGGGTTTTACATGTATGATGCAAATATGGATATAAAAGCTCTCTGTGGATGTAAATAAAGAAAAACAAATGATAAAACAATCAGTGAAACATCAGAATAATGAGAAAGAGTCGAGCACCGAGCGTTGACAAGTGCCAGACGCAGACTTACAGAGTGCCTTCACCCAGTGAAATGATAATGTTTGTGTTTATTCTGCATACAAATTAATAATTCTATAATGAAAAATTATTTTGTTGAATTTTTGTATTTTTTGTCAATAGGCACGAATGACAATTTCTCCATAGTTAGCTGTCTTAAGGTTAATAATAAACAGTTCCCCCATAATTAATGGCAAACAATGTAGAGGAAAAAGTCATCAACATACTATATTCATTGCATTATTGATCAAAACTAAAATTAAAATTAAATAAAAAATCAAATTTTCAATCAATTTTAATCAAAATTAATATTCAAAAAATAAATTCAAAAGTGAAAGAAAGAGATGAGGGACCTACAGAGAGGAGTTGTCAAGATCCATGAGGGGAGAGGCAGCAGCACAGAGAGCATCAGCATTAGCCAGGAGAACCTTGCTGATGAGACCACCGCAGCTCCCTCCAGCTGCTATATCTGCAACACCCACAAGTTACCATCTATTATATTTAAATTACGTTTAGGAAAACAACACACAGTACAGCATAAGCATCTATACCTCAGCAAAGAATCATCCCAGAAATATTGGCCAAATCATTTCCTTTACAATAAACATAAAACTGAACTTGTATACAAAAATTATACTAGCACTCGTTATACAGACATAAACAATACATTTGCAGTTATATATAATAATGATAACATTCTAATTTATTTTGTCATTGCAGTACTGTACTTGTTAGATCTAAAGTTGAAAACAATTACAAAATACAATATTGTACTGTATTTTGTGTGTGTGTGTGTGTACAGTAATTACCTAAGTGTAGTTACAGGATGAGAGCTACGCTCGTGGTGTCCCGTCTTCCCAGTACTCTTTGTCATATAACGCTTTGAAACTACTGACGGTCTTGGCCTCCACCACCTTCTCACCTAACTTGTTCCAACCGTCTACCACTCTGTTTGCAAAAGTGAATTTTCTTATATTTCTTTGGCATCTGTGTTTAGCTAGTTTAAATCTATGACCTCTTGTTCTTAAAGTTCCAGGTCTCATGAAATCTTCCCTATCGATTTTATCAATTCCTGTTACTATTTTGTATGTAGTGATCATATCACCTCTTTTTCTTCTGTCTTCTAGTTTTGGCATATTTAATGCCTCTAACCTCTCCTCATAGCTCTTGCCCTTCAGTTCTGGGAGCCACTTAGTAGTATGTCTTTGCACCTTTTCCAGTTTGTTGATGTGCTTCTTAAGATATGGGCACCACACAACCGCTGCATATTCTAGCTTTGGCCTAACAAAAGTCGTGAACAATTTCTTTAGTATATCGCCATCCATGTATTTAAAAGCAATTCTGAAGTTAGAAAGCGTGGCATAGGCTCCTCGCACAATATTCTTTATGTGGTCCTCAGGTGATAGTTTTCAATCTAGAACCACCCCTAGATCTCTTTCTTTATCAGAATACTTTAAAAATTTCTCACATAATATATAGGTTGTGTGGGGTCTATGTTCTCCTATTCCACATTCCATACATGGCATTTATTAACATTAAATTCCATTTGCCAAGTGGTACTCCATATACTTATTTTGTCCAGGTCATCTTGAAGGGCATGACAATCGTCTAAGTTTCTTATCCTTCCTATTATCTTAGCATCATCAGCAAACATGTTCATATAATTCTGTATACCAACTGGTAGATCATTTATGTAGACAATAAACATCACTGGTGCAAGAACTGAACCCTGTAGTACTCCACTTGTGACATTTCTCCAGTCCGATACATTACCTCTGATCACTGCCCCTCATTTTTCTCAGTCAGAAATTTTTTTTTGTGTGTGTGTAATTACCTAAATGTAATTACCTAAGTGTAGTTACAGGATGAGACCTACGCTTGTGGTGTCCCGTCTTCCCTGCACTCTTTGTCATATAATGCTTTAAAATTACTGATGGTTTTGGCCTCCACCACCTTCTCACTTAACTTGTTCCAACCGTCTACCACTCTGTTTACAAAAGTGAATTTTCGTATATTTCTCCAGCAGCTTTATTTCGTTAGTTTAAATCTATGACCTCTTGTTCTTGAAGTTCCGGGTCTCAGGAATTCTTCCCTATCAATTTTATCGATTCCTGTTACTATTTTGAACGTAGTGATCATATCGCCTCTTTTTCTTCTATCTTCTAGTTTTTGCATATTTAATGCCTCTAACCTCTCCTCGTAGCTCTTGCCCTTCAGTTCTGGGAGCCACTTAGTAGTATGTCTTTGCACCTTTTCCAGTTTGTTGATGTGCTTCTTAAGATATGGGCACCACACAACCACTGCCTATTCCAGCTTTGGTCTAATAAAAGTCGTGAACAATTTCTTTAGTATTTTGCAATCCATGTATTTAAAAGCAATTGTGTGTGTGTGTGTTTGTGTGTGTGTGTAATTACCTAAGTGTAGTTACAGGATGAGAGCTACACTCGTGGTGTCGAGTCTTCCCAGCACTCTTTGTCGTATAACGCTTTGAAAGTACAAATGTATTTTGTGTGTGTGTGTGTGTAATTACCTAAAGTGTAGTTACAGGATGAGAGCTATGCTCGTAGTATCCCGTCTTCCCAGCACTCTTTGTCATAAAACGCTTTTAAACTACTGACGGTTTTGGCCTCCACCACCACCTCACTTTGCTTGTTTCAACCGTCTACTACTCTGTTTGCAAAAGGAAATTTTAATGTTTTTGTGGCACCTTTGTTTTTTTAGCTTGTGATATCTTATTACAGACAAGTGTTAAAATGTAGGGGAATTTTTTTTTAGTTTCTAAGTATCTACATATCTTTTTACAGCATTCAAGGTTAGTGAATGCATTATTAACTATGATTTCAGATAAGAACACATTGTTTGGAAGAGATAACTTGTATGAGGTTAATGCTCTAATTTTTACAATCACTGAATGATAGCCAAAGGAAAAGCAATATAAGACATGTACAGAATAAGAGAAAAACACTCATGACCTCTCCAACTTGGCTGCAATGACTGTACTTATAATCAAATTAGTATCAACTAATTCATCAAAAATGTTATTCATAAATTATTGTATATTTATAATAACTGTCATAAATAACTGTCCCAGAGTGAACCATAATAATTTGCAAATCAGCCTCTGCAGGGTCAATCGATAAATAATAGGGCAAGAAAGGACACAAACACAAAGTTCATAAAAAGTAATATACTGAAATGAAAAAGAAAAAGATTACAGTCACCTCAGTACTCACTGGGCTACCTTTGACCCTTAGAACTCAGGTTTTCACATAAATTCCAAGCACTGCTTGAATGTTGCAGAATAAATGAAAAGCAAAAACTCTAAATCAGAGTTAATGTGGCTTTCTTCACTTGGCAAAATACTTAGAAATCAATCAGGCACATAAAGCAATATCACTAGCCCTTATTAGTCATCTTATAGACCATGCAATAATAATCACAGATAAAATAATCAAGTCCATGAACATCAAAAATTTATATACAGTATGTGCTATAGCTGTATTCCTAAACTGTTCATTGGAACAAAACTAATTCAACGGAAATGGGGATGAGGGAAACTTTACTTAACTAAACATATTTTAAAACATATCAATAAAATATAAATTGCACAGGTTTGGACAACAAGCAACCAGTGCCTGAAACAAAGGCTGGGTCGGCCACCATGAAGCCAGAAGGACTCCTCTCCACTGGTAGGACTCAAATGTGGCTAAGACCCAGAGCAACAGTTGGACCTGGAAAAAGAGGTCCAGCCAAAAGGCATCTACCACAAAAGTTTTACAATCAGGTAAATGAGCAGAGTACATGGGAAGGTACCGATTCCATAATGATGCAAAGAGGTCCACCTCAGGGCGTCTGTATGTGTTGCAAAGCAAAAGGAAAGAGGTGGCATCAACAGTCCACTCTATGGAGACAGGAAGGAACCAGAACAGACCATCTGTGAGAACATTGGACACTCCCTGAGCATGAAAAGCATAGAGAGCCAAACCCCAAGAACCCAGCAGAAGAGCTACTCATGGCATCCAGCTCCAAAGGGCAAGGGGACCAAAACAAACCCCCACCCCCATGGTTGTGGCAACTAACCACAGCAGAACAGCCTGAATTAAGCCGGAGCACCGAACCTGGAGGAATCTGAATTCTCCGCAGCACATGCCACACGGTTGCTAACTCCTGCACCACACTGTGAGCCCATCAAATGGGATGAGATTAATGACCATGGTCAGCTTGGTGAGCACTGGTCACAAAGCCCAAACCCAGGGCTGGGGTGTCCATGAAGATGTTGAATGAGGGAGGAAAGGGCCAGGAAACTGAACCCCGAAAAGCCTGAAAAGGAAGCTGGCATCACAACAGTGTAGGTCCAATGGAGCTCGCACCCAGCAATTACAGCGGCATCAAAAAGGACTGAGCTGGAGATACCAGAACTTCCACCAAAGCCACATTTTACCAAGAGGAAAACAAAGCAGACAAAAATCAAGCTTCTGCACAACTGCTTGAGCAACAGTCGAGACACCCTGGGTTGACTCGACACCTACAGACTCTGGTGTGACAGCTGGGTCAAGGCCACAGGAGGAAGGGATAGCAAAACTAATTGAGAGGTCCACATGAGGCCCAGACAAGTCTGAACCTGGGACAGAACATGCTAGAACTGCCACCAATTCACCTGGAACTTGAACCCAGCGAGCTGGGAAAGAACCAATCCCTCGTTAGCTGACAAGTGGACCAGCTGGGAGACCCACACTTGCCAGTCACTGAGGAAGGCCAAAACACGAACTCCCAACAACTGAAGACAAGCAACTATAACTCAAGCCAAGCATGTAAACATGCATGGAGCTAGATTGAGTCCAAATGGGAGAACCCAAGAGCAGTAAGCTTGCCACACCACCACAAAATCAAGCCAATCCCTAAACCTCGGATGTATAGGGATGTGCCAATACATATCCCGGAGGTCCAGAGATCATCCAAAAGTCTGCCTCTACTAAGAGACAAATTTAGGACAAGGTGGTCATCTAGAATGTATTTTCTGGCAACTTTCAGTGCCTCCTTATTGATCTCTAAGCCCAACTGTCTGTATATTTTCCATGCCTTAATAATGGTCTAAGATTTATCTTTCTTACAGTATTGAACTACAGGTTAGACTTGCATTGTATTTTTAACCTTTTTCTTGAGTGGGCTGAACTGTTTTGAAGCATCTGCAAATTTCTGGGTTACAAATTATATCATCTCATTTGTCATCGTCAATGGTTTCTCCCACTGGACATATTATGGGCAAACCCTTGCCCTTTGGTAATCCCCCATATATGTTGTCTCTCTCAATTCTCAAAATGCTTCCTTGATTGCTTCCCTGAACACTTGCTATATATCTGCATACCATATTGCAGTGGTAGCTAGCTATAAGGAGCATCTCACTTAAGGAGCATCTCATATTTTATCTTTTCAACATTTGCCTCATTTTGGTTAAAAACTAGGTTTTGTTTAATCTAGCTACTCACGTGGCATCTACACGTGAGGTCATTTGATGAAATATCTGTGCCTAAAAAGGTCACGGAGTGCTGTTGGGAATTAGGTTAAGGGTCTTAATTATGACTTCCAATTCTTTTAACAGTCATTGTAGCCTAGTGGTGAAGGCCCTGTACATGCTACGGTGCATGAAGCCCCTGGCTGCTTGGGTTCGAATCCTTCTTGGGTGAGGAGTTTTCTGTTGCATATTGGCTTGGGGACCATTCAAGTTTCTCCGAATAGAAGAATATATATATATATACAGTATTCTTTTATATATATATTATATATATATATTATATATATATATTATATATACAGTATTTAATTAGGAATTTAACCTCTGGTGCAATTGTAGGGACCTATAGTCTCAGAGAAGGGAATACATTGCATTCAGAGAAACTTGTCATTTAACTCTGAATACGTATGAGTGTTCACTTCACATACCACCCCTTTTTTTACGTTGTACACTTTATTATGCAAGGTTATACAGTTACATATCTGATTGCCTACAAAGAGTGAACATTAAGAGGAAATAAGGGAAAGTTTGTTTCCTAGAGGCTGTAGATTTCTACGAACTCCGAAGCTGGGCAGGAGCCAAGGATGCAGCGGGCATTCCAAATCTGGATCGCCACACAGAGGCACTGGAAGAGAACACTTGCCGCTCTAGGGGCTCTTGTAGTTTCAATGAGCCTGGAATCAAGATCCTTAAGAAACCTTCTTGCACTCTCTCCCCCATGGACCAAGGGTCTCAGATCCTATTGGAACAAAGTTGTACTGGTGATCTATTTCCCTGTACTAGGTTGACTTGTCTCTTTCTCGGTGTTGCCGCAACTTCTGCATGGCCGACAGAGAGGTCGATGTATGTGGCTGCCAGGGTGGATATGAAAGTATAGTCCCATGCCAATTGTCTGCCATTCTTCCAAGGGCACAATGTGATTCAATCTGGTCGGCCAGCAAAGCTAACAGAGTTACAGTTCAATAGATTGCAGGGCTCTCCCAGCTGGACATTGGGCAGAGGCAAGACTCTTCTTAATGATGTCATTGACTTTGTCGTGTCATGAGTGCCAACAGCCTGATTTTCCACAGTGCGAGCCATGCAATCAATATTCGTCTGCATCTGCCTCGCCGCAAATACACCTATGAACAGCGTGGATAGGGGCAGCAAGACAGAGACTACAATACAGAGCTGCTGTGGATCAAGACATGTGCCTGTCGAAGACATAGACACTGCCAAAAGAAAGTCCCCTGCATAGGGAGCCTGCACAGCTGTGAGACGTGCACGATCACTGGGGGTTGCTGCCACCACCAACAAAGTTGTGACTGCTTTGCCTACAATGGGGCTGTCCCAGCTGGATTGTTAATTGGCTTTCAACAAGGCTGGTCCGTGTGCTGGGTCTGTCATGGCACCACACATATATTATATTATATTGGCCCATATGAGGCAGCTCCTATTTATAACTACCCAATCCCACTCATATATCCAACTCACCCACTCACTCATACACACACACACTCACACATATACATACATACATACATACATACATACATACATACATACATACATACATACATACATACATACATACATACATACATACATACATACTTGCAGAAAAACAGAGTGGTAGACAGTTGGAACAAGTTAGGTGAGAAGGTAGTAGAGGCCAAAACTGTCAGTAATTTCAAAGCATTATATGACAAAGAGTGCTGGGAAGACGGGACACCATAAGTGTAGCTCTCATCCTGTAACTACACTTAGGTAATTACATATATACACACGCATCTGGTAGCTGGTCTGGTAGCTGAGTGGACAGCGCGCGGGACTCTTAATCCTGTGGCCCAGGTTAGATTCCTGACACCGGCAGAGACAAATGGGCAGTTTCTTTCACCCTGATGCCCCTGTTACTAGCAGTAAATAGGTACCTGGGAGTTAGACAGCTGTTACGGGCTGCTTCCTGGGTGTGTGTGTGTGTGTGTGTATGTGTGTGTGAAAAAAGAAATAGTAGTTAGTAACAGTTGATTGATTGACAGTTGAGAGGCAGGCCAAAAGAGCAGAGCTCAACCCCCGCAACTACAACTAGGTGAATACATATATATACACGTCTATCCATCCATCCATCCATCCATCCATCCATACATACATACATACATACATGTGTGTAAAATCACGAAAATTAACACGTGATGCATACAATTAACACGTCATACATACATATACATACATACATACATACATACATACATATATATATACATATATATATACATATATATATATATATATATATATACATATATACATATATATATATATATATATATATATATATATATATATATATATATATATATATATATATATATATATATATATATATATATATATATATATATATATATATATATATTCATTCATTCCTTGTATTCTAGCAAAGCCATATCTACTTAATAAAAAGCACTTCTACAAGGATCCTCCACCAGCTAGCAATACACTAGTCAAATATAAATACAGAAGTATACTTGCAGCCAAGAATCAGCTCCTCGAGGTCTATTTATTGGTGCACTTAGTGCTGAAGTTTTGTGTGAGCATGTACTGTATGCCTCCTTACATAACACAAATTGTACAACCTATTTTCAACCTATTTTACATTAGATAGGACTTTATGGATGCTGTGGAGTACTTTAAGAGGATGTTGCATTGATAATCACAAGGCATACTGTGCACTAACCTTGCATCTTTATCTTTATAACTGACTAGAGAATGTTGGCAGTTCATTATAGCTGATTTACATATAACTGTAGATACTATAACCCACTGAAAAATATTGTGCTACTGGATTTTATGAAGCTTAATGTGACAAACTCAATGCAGTTATTATTATATGGACTGTTGTGTGTATTTAATATTTGATAATCTCTTGCATCAAAATTGTGTGTAAAATTAGAAACAAATATAATACACAATAAATTACCTACCACAGATTCTAATTATTGCTATATTTGTTTAAATTATGAATTAAATCAATATAATAGCATATACAGTGTCTAAACAAATCCCTGAATCCAATATTTACTCTGTTGCATCAAAATATAAAGCTGAAATCCAGATTCTAGTTTATTTGTGTCCAGTAAACAAAATGTCACTGTGTTCTTGCGGCTAGTTTGAATATTATTTAAATCATACTACGATTTACATAAATGTGTATACAGTATTTAATAATAATATCTTTTTGGTGTGTAACTAGCACAAACCAGGTAAGGGACTTTATGGCCACTGCTCAAAGTCTGTTGCAGAGAGTATATAAACTGTAGAGGAAAACAAAATGCAATATGAATTAAATGTGTATTGTTGCTTCCATTCTGCACTGGAAGGTCAGTCAGTGCTTCCATGCAGCACTGACTGACCCTATGTCCCACTTGGACATCAGACTATGTATGTGCAACACTAGAGTGGCCTCTTAACTAATGGTCAACATACTTGGCCACATAGGCAGTGAGACAAGCGGGTTGATGATAGGGAGGTGTTTGCGAGATGATCGAGCTGCTGCAGAACCCCTAGCTAACCCTCGGCTGGCTGATCCCCACCCGCCACGCTCAGGACTTCTGCTCTTGTCCCGTCCAGAGGTGGAGGAAGCCACACTTAAAGTGGAAATGCGGCCAGCTTGATTTTTCAAGGTAGAGCCTGAAGAGATGCGCCGTGATGCTGATGAAAAACGAGGGACTATGAGGGGAATGATGAGATGGGATGAAAATAGCATAATAGCAATGAAGGGCTTTAAGGACAAAATAATGGAGGCAAGCCAATATTTGAAATGCAGGAAGAGTGAAGGTCAAGTATTGTGATGATAAACCAGTCATATTTGAATTTCCTTATCAGTGACTGTCACCTAATAAGGAAATTTTAATTTTACTACCATAGCTGAAAATTTAATGACTGAGAACTAGGCATCAGTCAAGTGAAGAGAAATATATAAACACTGAATTTAAAGATATTTTAGCCAAACAAAAAGAGAGAACATATGAAGCCTAATTTAAAAGCAAATAGAAGTTGCATGCAGTTTAAACCAGTAATATAAAATTAAAACTTGAAGGCGTCACTTGGCCAAAGTGAAGGAAAAAATAACAAGAGATACAGGCAGAGTGGATACTGTATCATCCTGAGTTGGCAATCTTGTGGGTTGATTAGTTTCTCAAGCACAGTACAGCTGTATCTTCCTTACTGACCACCTTTGAAAACCGAAATTATTCACAAATGCCCAGCTATATGGAGGATACGTATACTCTTTAATTTCAATATAATTAAACTCTTCACTTCTGACCATGCACTGAGTGGCAGAGTGTGCCCTAGTTGGGAAGCTAGTTAATAAACAATGGCCAGTCAAATCATACTTGGAACAATTATAAACCAGTCAGTGGTATTATGAATGGCATGATGATGAGTGAAGGGTAATGCATTAAGAATTAGAATGATGGGTGATGCAGCCAAAGGTAATGACATATGACTCTAAGGTACTGAGCAAATCAGTACATTATGTGATGGGTCAGTTTTATAAAACTGTCATAACTTGCCTCGGTGTATCTTGGGGGAAAAGCAAAATGAAATGTTTACTGAAGGACAAAGGTTGCAAGGTGGGTTCTTAACACTGTATATGAAAGGTAATGAGTGATGCACTGTGTTGTTTTACAGTTTAACCAACAAGGATTCTGTGTGAGATAAAAGCAAGGCAGGTGTGTAACAACTTTTGTGACCAATATTTAACCATCTGATGTCTAACGTCAACATATCATAAGGAAGGATCAAACATATTAGTACCGTGATACTTTTTTTATCTCCACAACTTCATATTTCTATTAAAGAAACAGGTTTGCAAAATTATTAAGAAATATATATAACCTGGACAATACAGTATAGTCATTTAAATTCATTAAACAAATTGTTACTGAAATTAAAAGTTTCCAAAAATTGCTGGCTGACATTTGATGACAAACACATCCCAAGGAGCAGCACAAAAAATCCAGGCAAACGCTGGATAGATATCAACATTATACTCTATGTTGTGTAGAATTATGAACTGATTTAAACTAAATTTAAGATAAACATTTGTCTTAATTTAAATTTAAGACAAATGTTTGTCTTGCCAAAACAAGAAGCCCACTTTAATATTCAGAGATGTGTCAAAGTTAAAATAAAATTGCCTCTAAAAAGCATGACTCTAATTTCCAACAACATACACAAAACTTGTTGACCAGACCACACACTAGAAAGTGAAGGGACGACGACGTTACGGTCCATCCTGGACCATTCTCAAGTCGACTGTGAATGACAATGACATTCTCAAGTCGATTGTGAATGACAATCAACTTGAGAATGATCCAGGACGGATTGAAACGTCGTCGTCCCTTCACCTTCTAGTGTGTGGTCTGGTCAACATACTTCAGCCACGTTATTGTGACTGATCGCCTACACAAAGCTTCTTTACACAAAGTTGCAAATATATTCTAGTTTTCATATCTTCAGCCCCGTTATTGTGACTCATCATTCTTGTGGAAATTCATTAATTTCACAAAATTAAAGGAAATATTTATGCACGATCATTGTGATAAGTGTACACAAATAGGCTTCATGTACCATACTTTAAATTTGTAATTTAAAATTTAGCACTACAGAATTGGCAGATGAAAAGTGATGGAGTGAGACCATAATTGGTAATGAAGTACTGGAAGAGATCAAGATACAAAACATTGCATTTGGAAATGGTACAATGGAAATACAGTATACGGAAAAGAGCGAGTGAGCTTTGCTAGGTTACAAAGTGATTTAACCCCCCAGGATGGAATGTAGAAGGCAGAAATGATACCATGGACCTAAAGGATTACTTCATAATAGTAAATCTGTGTCAACACTGGCATGTGGAAGTCAAAAATGGACATGAAATGAAAGATCAATCTAAACTTCATGCTGTTTAAATGAGCTATTGAAAACTGCTCATTGTATACAGTGTTATTAAACATTAACACCTGAAAAAAATAGGAAATAATAAACAAAATGATCCTTGCCAAAGTGATGGTCTAGCATAAAAAAAAAAGAATAAAAATCATGCTCGGAAGCCAATGTAGTTGCTGCCACATGCGTCCGGGAATGTGTTTATAAACTACAGTATGCCACTAGGCTGCTAATTTAGGCAATACCTTGACCCTCCAAGGAGATAACCTGAAAACAATCAGGCTTAGTCAACATTTGACCTCCAGCATAGTGGAGATCTTTTAAACATCCCCTTTTTTTTGGAGGGGAAAAGGCATAAGATGGAGAAAACTTTATCCAACTTGGAATATTCATCTAGTGACAGTTCATTAATTTACCTTCAAAAGCCTCCTCCAACCAATACTCAGTATAAAAAGCGACTACCACGTATCACACTGTTAATTGCTAGCTAGCCCACTGATTGTCACTAGATGGTAGCCCTATCATTATTAACAGAGCTGCCTACCTCACACTTATCCTAGCTGTTCCTTGGCCAAGAAACATTGCTGGATAGTGACCTAATTATTCACTTGTCTCGAGTTGATCCTTTGAGATTATATTTTTATGTACAGTGTGATTATGCTACAATATTAAGTGGATACTTCTGTGTACATGGTTACACAGTTGTATGTGTTTGTCTCAACTGTGGTCACACACCTCGTGAGATTGTTCCCAACTTTCACTGTGTTTTTTTGGACTTCATCCTGGGTCAAGGCATTAGTTCTAGGAATGATGTTGGTTTGACCGCAACATCATGTTTATCATGATGTTATTATGCAATTCTCTTATTTTCCTATAGTCTCACAGTTTCTTGAGATTTAAAGAGTATACAGTATGATAGAAAACCATAAGAACAGTGGTGTAGTGCTCATCTGACTGTGATATAGGACTGATGGTCATGCACTTGTTCAAGGTTTTCACCTTTCACAGAATTACTCTCGCCCTTGGATGTCGTCTTTCTGCCAGGTGTGGACAACGACAACTATCGAGCCTCAGTCTTGGCGATTTGAACATTTGCCTACACGTTTGTATTTTTAAATATTAGTAATAACAGCCTCAATTTTCAGCTTCCATGGGTTCCTTGCAGAAGGCTTTACTTCCAATTCAAAACTCAGGAACAGTAATACAAGTAACTATACAGCAACCAGGAAGAAACAGCCGGGAGCCGGCCGGGAGCAGGGCGGCTGAGCGGACAGCATGCTGGATACGTGATCCTGTAGTCCCGGGTTCGATCCCGGGCGTCGGCGAGAAATGATGAGCAGAGTTTCTTTCACCTTATGCCCCTGTTACCTAGCAGTAAATAGGTACCTGGGAGTTAGTCAGCTGTCATGGGCTGCTTCCTGGGGGGTGGAGGTCTGGTCGAGGACCGGGCCACGGGGACACTAAAGCCCCGAAATCAACTCAAGATAACTCAAGAAACAGGAATCCAGTTGTGAAAACAAGCAGCACAAGCAAATTCATACATAAAGAGCAAATTCTGATTGTGATAAAAACCAGCGTTGAATGTAATGAAATGCGATGTTCTGGGTGAGCCGCGGAGGCTTCCTGGAGCTATCGGACTGATATTCGCTATATTAGTCTGAGGCATCATTCAATTGGAGTTCAGCCTACCAGGGACCACGAGCCAGAACCTGGCCCCCCTCAGAGAGGAAAAGGGAGCAATAGCCTATGGAAACCCCCATGTATTTGAGGACATTCCATGGCTGCCATTGACTGGGGTTATGCACCCAGAAAGATAAGCATAAGAAAACAGACCCCACATGGTAAGAAAAATGCAACCAAAGACCAAACAGTCAGGCAGAAATCCCCTAATCCAAAGAAACAAGCACTCACCCACTCCAAAATGGCCCGACGGAGTGCAGGGGAAGAAGCCTGCCCTGCCAGCCCTGAACCCCTCTGAAGGAAGAGGAGGAGCCGCCCAATGCCATCACAGGCCAGAGGATACGACCCGAAACACCCACAAATCGTGGGACCAAGCGTAAGCAAACAGCCCGAGCCTTCCCCCCATTGAAAGGGAAGGCTCGCACATCTATTCCTTTTTCCTCTGAAGAAAAGGCATCTGCTCTTCACGAAAGAGCACACGCCCCTTATGAGAAGCCAGCCAATGACCAGAGCAAGCATTGCACCAACAAGACAACGCCAGCTTTGAAGGAAGCATTGGCTCAGAAGCTGGCACCAATGGCCCACCCCGACTGGAAGAATCCCGAGCCCTGGTACGACCCTTCCGAGAAGACCAAGAACGGCCACCCATCCACTTGTACGAGAACCAACAAGTCCAACATGGGAAGACATCTAGATGAGGCCGCCTGCAAAAACTGAGTGACAGCAGTTTCCTGCCATTGCGTGCAGATCTGACAAAACCCATATCACGCTCCCTGCAAAAAGAAAGGGCAGTCTGCAAGCCAGGATGACTCCAGAACCTCATAACGCACCCAATATAGGGAAGAAGAACCGTACTCAAACAAGAATGGATCCATCACAGAGGCAAAATCCAGGTCACGCAGCAGGTAAGCCGCAAGAGCCTCCTGTACCTCCTTAGGTGGGATGCGAAAAGCAGAAAACCTCCAGAAGGAAGGAGCCGAGGAACCCAAGGGAACCCAGAACCAAACCCGCGGAGGAACCAACTCCAAATTATACACATACAGGGAAGGGGGTTAAGAAAACCCATCCCCCCTGCAACA